ACTAATTCCTGAGATTCAGTCCGGATTTAGAGCTGGTCACAGCTGTGTAACAGCGCTCTTACATGTAGTTGATGACATTATAAATTCAACTGATAAAGGTCTTTGCTCTATATTAGTTTTATTGGATTTCAGTAGAGCCTTTGACACAATAAATCATGACATTATGCTTGCGATCCTTAAATATATAGGTTTGTCAAATAATGCTTTGATGCTGTTTGAAAATTATATACAGAATCGCTCTCAAAGAGTGCGATTAAATGATAGTATGTCACATTCTTTGTTATTAAAGTCAGGTGTACCGCAAGGGTCAATTCTGGGTCCTCTTCTTTTTACCATTTATACTAGCAATTTAATAAACTCATTAAAGTTTAGCAGCATACATCTTTATGCGGATGATACGCAAATATATTATTCATTTTCTCCTAGTGAGATAGATATTGCTTCTGCGCGTATTAATAATGATTTGAATAATTTTATAAATGAAGCTAAAGACCATTGTCTCTTAATCAATACATCAAAGTCTAACGTCATCATATTTGGTCCCAAGAAGCATCGATTAGTTGTGCAAAATCAAATAGATATTAATATACAAGGGTCCATTTTGCCAAAATTAGATAAAGTCAAAAGTCTTGGTGTAATTATTGATAGTGATCTTAGATTTAAAGAATATGTAGATAAAACTATACAAAAAGGATACTCCGTATTAAGAGCAATATATACTAATAGACATTGTATGCCTACTGAAACTAAAATTATGCTTTGTGAAAGTTTAATTTTATCACTATTAAATTTTGCTGATGTTTTGTATGGACCGTGCATCAATGCATTATATAAACGTAAAATTCAAAAGTTACAAAACTCTTGCCTCAGATTTATTTATGGAATTCGGAAAAATCAAAGAATATCCTACAAACTTCAAGAAGTGAAATGGCTTAATATGGAAAACAGACAATTACACCATGCAGCTTGTTTATATCATTCAATTATTTTAAATAAATCACCGCCTTATCTATATAGAAAGATCAAATTTAGAACGGACGTACATACAATTAATATAAGATATAAGGGTCTTCTAACTCCCCCACAACATAATACTGAGATGTTTAAGAGGTCATTTAGTTATCAAATTTGCGATGTTTATAATAATTTGGATCAAGATATAAAAGAGAGCAATATATACTCATTCAAACGTAAATATAAAAGACTTTTATTTGAGCGGCAATATTATTAATAATACTACTATTTATTTGTGGTTAAATGTCATTACTAATAATTATTATTTAGGATTAGAATATTTATGTTAGTAATAGGTTATGTTGAGTAGTGTGCACAACCTTGCTTGTGCAGACTAGACTTCGCCTTTTGTTCGACTTAATGGAAACTAGTTTGTGCAATGTGTATGTTTGTTATAGAATAATAAAGACTATTATTATTATTATTATTATTATTATTATTATTATTATTATATAAGGTTTTTTTGTTTATTTAAAGGTATTATATTGTCTGTTAAAATTAAGGCAGTCAAACTTCTAATACCCTGTATTCATACAAATCTGTTTCCCAAAAAATGCGTCTATTTATATATTAAGTATTTACTACTCCCAGGTTACCACCAACTCTAATAAATACAAATCAGTAACTATAAATTCGATAACAATATAATTCTACGCAGGAACTCGGTGGATACACATGTACACCACATACATCGGTGAAGTGCTTACAGGAATTGTACGAAGTTATCCGCGGTGGGTCCTTATAAAGATACTCGTGACAGCAGCAACAAGAGATTACCCTGAATTATTTCAGTTGCATTTTTGATTAGCTATTGATTCTTCATTCGTATTAAGCAAGCGCAATACAACCAACCCACCGATTTCGAAACGCGATATTTAGATTTAGGGGCACCTTGAAATAATCACATATAGGCCCTTATATTGAAAGATACATCTAACAGATCAGAAAATTATTTTTCAAAAGGTTGGAGCACTTTAATTGATACATATTATACATATGATAGATCGGTCGATAGCCGCACGGTTTAAGGCGTCAGTCCTTAAATCGTGTGCAAATTTTTGCTCGGGTTCGATTCCCGCGGCCGGTAGACTGTAGATTAGCTATGCTTGTACGGAGGATTGACACCCTCTGTGCAGGTATGGTAGGGTGGAAGAATGTTAGCTTGGGTCAATGTGAGAGATTGACACCGGTTGGCATTTGACCACCCCCCTAATTAATGAGGTTTTCCAGGTTTCCCTCATTCCTGCACTGAATGGTGGTTAGGGCTTACCAACATAAGTCGTTCCTGGGCGCAAATGCGGCCTGCCTAATAATAATATGCCGCCTCCTCTCCCGCACTAGTCTTCGACTTATGGGCTAAGCTTATTATTATTATATTGTACAGGCCTAAAAGCATATGCAGCAGCACCGACGATACTAGGAACGAACGACCACAATCACGGACCGCATTACGTAGCTGTCGTAACGACACCAAACATACGCCCGGGGCCACATCTTTTACCCTACACCATAAAACTTGAGACGCGCACAGATATTCCTACTCACATCACATGACACGCGGAACCTCACAGCCACTACAACCATTGTACTGCGCAGGCCTAAATATGCCTATAATGAACATTCACTGCTTGGAATATAACAATTGTAAACAAAATTTAACGAAATATACAAAACATTCGCCGATAACTCTAGTATAAACAACCAAAAGACACGATACTAGTATATAATCACTACCTAATCCACTTGCAATTGAATACCGTAACAATTTGTCACCTAAACTACTGCAGGTCGACAAAACTAAGAAAATGTTAGATGTTACTGGATCGTTAGATTTGAGATAATCATAGTTAAAAACGACACACAACATATTTTTACAATAGAATTAAAAAATGCTTTCTCTGGAAAACGATTTAAAACTTTTGTTGTGATTCAGTCATAATGTCATTAATTTTAAGAGGATATAGAGAAAAATAAGTATAATACGATGGAGTCATTAAAAAAAATTAAATGCATATTTAAGCTGAAAAATTTCAAATCATTATTTAACCCCCTTTTCAGGCTGTTACTGACCGGCTGACGTCAGCTGGTTATTCACAGTATTGCGCACGGCTACGATATGAACAAGGTGCCCTAGATGCTACGTTGCCATATTTATATATTTTCGCTCACATAAAGACAATAAATAAACGGTTTCCTCACGTCAGCCAATAATAATTTATAATGGTATAAATTATTTTTTATATTTATGCAATCAACATAGTAAATTGTTATTGTTGCCCAGCAAGAACCTCGAGGAGGTCTGAGCATGCCTTGCCAAAAATCAGTTTTTATTAACATCATAATGTTGATCTCTTAATTTGCTGTAAGCCTTCGGGCTTACAACAAATGTTCAAATACATTACCGTTACCGTCTATGCACAAGTGTACACGTTGGATAGATGAGCGGCGGATGCGATGGAATAAACCAGGGTTGTTACGTATTTCTTCAGCGGCATCTTCGATACGATTCCGCAACTGCTCTACATTTTCTACCTCAATGTGATACACGACAGATTTCATATAACCCCATATAAAAAATTCCATAGGATTATTAACGTTTTCACGTTTTATAATTTATTATGTTAAATAATACACAGTTTTAGTATTATGTTCAATTTATTATTCAATATGCAGTTGAGTATAACCAAAGTTTACATAATAAATGTAAACTTTAGTGTAAATGTAAACTTTGGTGTAACCTAGATAGGTAGTTACTGTTTTTGAGAAAGTAATATGTTTTTTACCTGTTTAAAATGCCAGCACGAGTAAAATAGCATTCATCCGTCCAGATCACTTTGTTATTAAAGTTAGGTTCTGCTGCACTTCGATTTAGGAACCAAGACGATTGGTTAAATTAGATGGAAACGCCTCCGATATTCAATTGCAGCGGCATTTGCGTTCTGTACACACTCTCCGTATAAAATTACCATATCCACAAATTCGGCATTCGTATACAAAGCCATCACGACCGACAATTTAAACAATCCGAAAGAAACTAATGGTTTCGTGTGTCTTTCCAATCCACATCCCCTCTCCATCTATATGGTGTAATGTTCACTCCTTTGCGGGAAAAATGCGGGAGATATGGAGGGTGGTAGATTTTAATAAACGCCTTAAATTGTTAATGGTTTTGTAACCGTGTGTAGTGTATTTTGTATATTCAGTGCCTACAAACCTCTGCTTTATTTATTTTCTTTTAAAGAAAGTTGACTTCGAGAAGTCAGGCTTGTTAAAACATTTTACACTAAGTTAATACAATTATTAAAATTATTTATAATAAAATGCAGCATGATCCTTTATTTACTTGCATACGTTTAACGCGGAACCCAAAATAAATGTGAACCATAGATTATGATGTGAACTTGGCAACACTGTTCGCTTCAGCTGACGACTGATTCGTTACATTACGTTACAAATTTTTCCGAGCATCCGGGCATCTGGCAGGGCTGCCCTCTTAGCGGGAGTTTCGGGTGGATTTCCTTCATTTTTAAAAGTCGAGTCAAAAATTTTTTTCCGATTTTCTGGTCTTTATTAAATCTTCCGAATACGTGGTTAAAATTAATGCCATTATGACTGAATCACCTTGTAAAACTCTTTTTTATTTTGGTCTATCCTATCAGGTATTATATGTATTCATACAATGCTGAAACTTTTGAAAACTTTTATACAACGAAATATTTTCTCAACGAATTATAAATTAATATTTGTTGCTAAAATTTGAAGAAATATAGTGCCGACCCTCACGAGAGACGAATAATCCGCACAATTTCTAAAAAAGAAATCGTATTTGTTTTAAACATAATAGAACAGGGCGCCATCCAAGCGTCCAGGATCGCCCCTGTTTCTTTCTTCCCTACTGCACATCTACCACTTACATCTACCATTTTAAATATCGATAGGAATCGGTAAATAATATGTAAAATTCTAAAAATTAGTCAGATACTCACGCTACAAAATCGTTTACATGAACATAATCATCTAGACTTCCTTCTTTCTTGCTGACATCACCTAAAATAAAAAGAGAACAGTTTTAAAACGACAATCTCAATTTACAGGGAAAAGTTCATTAAGGGTGCTTTTCTGGATCATTGCTCTAGTATCAATAAATTACTTGCTCTTTTTAGTTTAGAGATAATCTAATATAGAATAAAGATAATGGTTAATACAGCTACAACACAATCGTAAGTTTTTATATCGAGATGAACAATTTTTAAGGCCTATAAAGGGCTTTGTATACTTTTTAGAATCATGTTAAAGGGACATTTCTGCACTCCAGTGTATCTGTTCTCTCTATAAGGAACTACCCAAGAGGACTCTAGTATCCACAATTTTTCCTTTTTTGCTATATTTATACGCTTCAAAACGTTTATAGTAGAATAAATATATACGTACTTAAAATAGCTTCGAGTTCAGCTAGTAATTTTTCCATATCGTAGTGCTCAACTTCTGCGATGGGATCAATATTATATCTGGCAAAAAACATTTCAATTTCAAGATCACTAAACCCACACCTAAAAATGTTATTAATAAATCATTACTATTACACTTTAAACTGAGATATAATGCAACACACACACTTTTTAAGCGCTTCCCGTATATGTCTTATGGTAATATTTAGTTCCCTCTTGAGTTCCGACTTTCTGCTACGTCCACATCCAAGTTTTCGTAACATGTTAAAGAATCCTCTCTGAATGTATTCTGTCATTTGCATTTCATCGGGTGCAATTGCTATTTCAGTCTTTACGTCCGCATAAGTGTCGTTGATTATAGCCAAAAACATATTCTATAACAAAATAGTTATGTGCATTCAGCAGACATTGTGATGGTTTAGTAAATGCATTGGTTAGACAAGCACAACAAAAGAGAAGTGGTCTGTTCCAAAGAGGATACATAGATTTAATGTATCCTTATGTATTTTGACGTTCTGAATCCGAATCAAAATTGCTCAATCATCCTTCATGTTTTTTAAAATTGCAAAAACTGCCCTTAAATACAGAAAATATGGAAAATTCAATTTTTCAAAACTACAGGGAGTCCAACTTCATCTTTCATCCCTGTTTCTTGTGTCTACGGATAATACGGAAAAAGTCACTGTGAATAGAAGGTACAGCTAAAAAACAGATTTCCATCCAGGGTCGCAAAACATCATCTGCGAATCCTTAGTTGAACCTCCAAATATTCTGCTTCTACCTCTCCATATTAAACTTGGATTCATAAAACAGCTCGTTGAAACTTTGGACAAAGATGGCGACTGTTTTGGATACTGAGGAGAAAAGTTTCCGGAAATAAGTGATGCTAAACTGAAGGAAGGTATTTTCGATGATCCTCAAATCTGTACCATGTTCATAGACAAAAAATTTATCAGAAAAATGAATGATACTAAAAGAGCAGCATAGCTATGTTTCAAGGAAATCTCTCAAAATTACATGGGGAGTTAGAAGGGTGAGGATTACCTGAATTGGTACCTGAATAATTGTGGAATTGTTGAGAAACTTCAAACGGTTGGGTTGCTTGATGAACATGAAATTGCATTTACTAGACTTTCATCTTGATTACTTTCCGGAGAACCTCGAAGACTACAGCGAAGAACAGGGTGAACAGTTTAGCCAAGATATCAATGAAATGGAGCGTCGGTACCAAGTAATGTGGGATGTTAATATTTGTTACTTAAAATGGAAAACGAATCAAAAACACAAAAGAAAAACATGCATAGATCGTTTGAAGATAAGAGTTCATTACAAAATGGAAATGGAGTACAATAAACATCATTTATCATCTGGAAACGATCTTCATATCTTCTAATACCCTCTTCTCTCTACGGCATCAATTGGCTAAAATTCTATCTCTGGGAAGGAATTTCCTAGATTTTAGGATGATTTTACACGGTATAAAAATATTGTAGGGTAATATAGTGATTCTACTCGCAGAGGGAATCGGCTTCAGTGCGTCAAAATACATATAGATATGATCCTGCAGTAATTTTCATTCTCTTTTGACAATTGTTCCAAATGCCATACACTCTAGTGAATTGTGAATAATTATCGTATCTGTGTAAGCTGTAGATGAATTATTATTGTCTTCATATATGGACACCCTTTAAAATAATAAATGAATAATATTTAAAATACTTACTAGCAGTACGAAGAATACCAAAAATATATATGACAGGAAATAAATTGGTGCTAATATTCTGTTTGCTTTTTCAATCTCGGGATAATCAAAATCACCCAGAATTGTTCGAAGAAGTGTAAACATTGCTTTTCCAAAACTGCTAAAGCTTTCAACCTAAAAGTTGCATTTATCATTAATATAATATTGCTTGCGATTAACTGGAAAATTAGAATATGCCTTCATAAATGATTACAAGCCTCGTGACCAATAATTTTGTTTGGAACAGTTATTTTATTTCCTGCATGTTGGCAATAATATTTTGGCAAAATTAAAAATTATTAAAGCGGTCAGGTTAAGATCAAATTAAAATGCAACATTCTGTTTCATCGGCTGTGACTGGTGTAACTTTTACGAGATTCTATTCCACCAATCAGCGATAGCATTATCTCGAGCGTAGGCGTAACGGTTTGTTACTGTTCATTGTAAACGAATCATTAATATTGGTGACACCAGGATGTAGGGAATTTTCGTTACCAGTACCAGTCGTGCTATGTTGGGTTGCCTAAACTCGGTGATCACGTGACTTGTAACATTTATGAAGGCTCTGTATATGTACAAATGTACAAACTGAACGTTCTATTGAAAATAGCATCTGATAGCAAATGTCTAATGATAATTTTCTCTTAATTTAACTCGTAAACTTACAACTTTTCACAACTACAACAGTTTTATTATAAGAAAAAATGCTTTGTGTTGCAATTGACGTTTGTTATTAACGTCTAGTTATTTTTTAACTAACTATTTTTTAACTTTTTTGGTCAAATGTAGTTGTAAAAAAAAATATTAAAAATCGTAGGATTACGATTAATTTGTACAATATACAGATACACTGTACAATTTCTTTAATGATAGAACACTTATTGTTTCTCAAAATACTGCATTAACTAAAAAAATGCTTTTACCCATTGCCCACGCTTACCTAAAATGGCTATTATATTACCAAAATTCAGTTAAGTACTAATTTTTTATAATGACACACACTTACCTGGCTTCCAAATATTAGGTATCCAAGTTGGGCGAATGCAAAAAATATTATAAAAAACATTACTGAAAAGCCTAAAATATCCCAAGCACACTAAAAAATATTAAAAATGATGAAACAAATAGCTAATATATAAATAGAGATCAAACTTATACTTTTGTTATTTTTTATTTTCTTTTATCTTAAGTTTCTACCATATCCTAATTTACCTTTTTCAGTGTATTGTTCAGCTGTCCCATGGTTCTATTAAAATTCAGATATTTAAATATCTTTATATAGGTAAAGAATAAATTTATAGCGAACATGTCATTCTGTAGGAGATGTATATACGCAAAATATTCAAAATTCCCGTACTTGAGTGGATTTCTTGAGAAAGATTCGATTGTACTGGGTATATATTTTATGTTTAGAATCGAAAATATTGAATTGGCAATGCAAGTCTAAAATAAACAAATATTAGTTTAGGTTTGAAGGTAAGTACATACAGTGTCTCCATGGATGAAGTTAAAGGTAGGAATTCAAAATATTTTTCATTTTTTGAAAAAAATGAAATTTTGAAAAGATTCTTCTTGTGTTCAAATCGACAAATATGTACTATTCTATTGGCCGACATATACAGGGTGTTTTCTATAAAAATAATTGATTTTGTACTTTGAACTCAATAAATACATAAATAATAATTAATCATTTTCCAACATTTAATTAATTGTAAAAAAATATTAGCTTTACCACATATGATATCAAATAATATTGTTTTTAATTGCCAGTGTTGCGAGAAATAACTACTCCGCGAGCTATATGCCCTACCGGCATTGAATTATACTCGCAACACCTAGTACAACAGCTAGGGTCGTTCCCTATGTGGGCAGCAGTCGTGCAACAAAGTACCTGGCAATATAGCAGGTTGCTTCCTACGGTAGCCATTTGAATGGCACAGTTGGGAGTCTGGACGACAGATGAAGCCATGTGCGCTCCGCATACAAAATAATGTTGTTGACTTTTTTCCGATCCCTTAAACAAAAACTACCTTTCCTACACAAGTAGGCCGATTGTTTCCAAATTAGGAAATACGAATAAATTTCAGTTCTAAACAAGTTTTTCTAATGAAATTTCTTACTATCCTATACATACAAAAAAGGCATTTTACCTACATGAAATTTGTTTGCCCGCGACAAAGTTTACTTAATTGTTCAAAAACAAAATATAACAAATTATGCTATAGATTTTTTCACGCAAAATAGGCTTCCAAAATGTCAAGTAGCTGCTCGAATTTTTTTGTTATTGACATCAATGATTAAGGGGGGCGCTTTTATACATCACTTTCAGTGAATTTATAACAGTCTCTTCACGAAGGTTTAAGGAAATCTAAACAAGCAATCTTAGCGACATGTCATTCATGTTATTGATATGAAAAGTCAAGTAACGCTGATCGCGGTTAGTATTTGGATGGGTGACCGGGAAAGATCCACAATGCTCGTCCATCTTCTGGTGGCCTATATGTCGGTGTATAGGACGACATATCATACCTCGGAAACGACGATCCCTTGTCTAAACAGTGTTAGACAAATAGAAGATCCATAACGGAATAGGTGTTCAGCAAAATTTTCGGATTGGAGATTGCTCATCTCCTGGCGTCGGTGTTTAGCCATAATAGCAGAAATAGGCCAACGCAAAATAATCAAAAAGTTGAAAGCTAAGCTACCTGTAGATAGATTTTCATGTTTTATGATTGTGTTATTGAAAGTGCGATTTCTTGTCTATGAAACGCCAGCTATAAGACGATCTGGAGTAGTACTGGCAACCGAAATCGATTTCTTGGATAGTGGGTTAACCGGTTTCGGCTAATTAGGATTTTTACGAAACCCGAAAGCCGGTTATTCGATTCTTCAAATATCCGATTATTCAAATAACCGATTATTTGGTAATCTGTTCATTCAAACATCCGAATAATTTTTTATTTAGCCAATAACTACATAACACTATAATATAGTCTTTGTGTTATGTACTTGGCATTGGCTACATAGTACATACGTAGTAGATAGAATTAGGTGGAACTATTAAGGGAAATACAATTTATTTTTATATTTTATTCTGGGACACAGACACAGACTGATTAAAAAAACAATCACCCACACCCACATACACCAAATAACGAAATGCATTTATATAAATAATAAATTGAAGAACCATAGTTTATTAATTGTAACTGTTTTAACATTTTAACTTTTAACATTAGATTTAACTTTATTTAAAATATGTGAATATGTGAATAACATCGTATATCCTGTCAGTTTTTCAAAACACCGAATTTCGGATATCCGGTTTTAACCACTATTCGGCTAACCCGTTTTATCTGAAATCGGTTTTTACGGAACCAGATTACTTAGCTGGTTTCACTTTTTTCTGATTTTTGCCAGCGCTAATCTGGAGACGATATTAAATGTTGGAAGAGGATTGACTATTTTAGAATTTCTTAGCTGTTTTATTGAGATGTAAAAATAAAAGCGAATTTAATTCTTATCATTTCATAATAGCAGAAGCAACCCGAGAATAGGGGACATCCTTTATATGTTGACCTACTTAAAACATTTCTGTACATTTACACTTGCAGTTTTTTAATATAATGAAATGTAAATAAGTTGTCCTTATTTTCCCTATTGTCAATTGCATCTGGGAATAGTCTGTATAATATTTATAATTTTTCGCATCTCCGTTCTTCTATGATTCATGTTGGTATGTCTCACTTATACATGACGCGCGCACAGGTTTAAAGGAAAAAAGTGTTTCGTAACAGTCCGTTACTACTTATTGATAGCCAGCCAGTTCATTTATATGTGCCGCACGTGCTGGTCGATTTGCCTTGTGTAGTGTATTTATGCAAAGAAAAGAATTTCCATGAATCCGAGATAAATTACGCGTAAGGGAAATATTATATTAATTATCCATTTCAGATGAGAAGGTATTTCATTAAAATTTTTCTGTTAGCCGCCCTTGACTTGATAATACTAGCTCGTATACTATGGTAAACGCAGAGCAGAGTTTTTAGACTAATTAAAATGCAAATTCCACCTTAAGTGGATTGTGTAGCTGGTCATATTAATTATTTTGAACGCGAACATTTGTTTGTAGAATATACGGTCGTTTTAACCGTCTTAGTAGGGCGTAGCCGCTTTGTTTTTTTGCCCGTATTCCATGCGACATGTAGAGAGTGGTTTTCACTCCCTTGAATGGAATGTCTAGCTAGTTATATCGTAGTTGTTTTAACTACTTTGCCCGCAAACTTTTTGTTTGCCAAATATTTGGGGCATATACGGTCGTTTTGACTGTCTTAAAAGGGCTTAGCCGTTTTGGTGTTTTGACCACGGACAATTTGTTTGCAGAATATTGGGGCACTATGCGATTGCTTTAATTCGACTAAATAAGGTCTAATCGTATTGACTTTTTGTCTGCATTTCATGAAACATGTAAAGTGTGGGTTTCACTCTTTTTACATGCAAAGTCTATCTATCTATCTCTAAGCATTTAGTAGTTATTTTAACCATGTCACCCATAACTTGTTTTAGACATTTGGACGTAATTCTACTGCTATTTTTACCCTCTGCATACCATGGTATACACGCAAAGTGGATTTTTCGTTCTAAAGGCTTCCTATTATAATTTTGCCTTGCTTACATAGCAAAATTTAAATAATCTGCTTAAAGCTACATTTTTTCAGAAGCAGTGATTGTACTGTGTTCTTAAAATATAATTGTACATTCCAGGGACACCCTTGTTGTAGATAGGTAATAAAATATCAGTGTAAGAAAATCAAATCATTTACGTAACCATTTTGAATAATTACCGAATTTTATACTTACTGAAATTATTGCCCAATCTATATAAGACCAGAACAATTTAAAATACCGTAATTTAAAATATACCAAATCTCGAATGGCTTCCATAATGAAGAAGCAAACGAGAACGTAAATTAAAATTTCACATATCATCACGAAATAATCATATGCAGTAACCAATCTTTTCAAGCTGACGCTATGGACCTCGGCAGAGGGAATGACGCCTCCACTCGTCGGAAATTCAAGCACTAATCTGAAAAAAAAAGAGATAAATGAGATAAATCCAAAGACCTATTGCAAATTATAAAAATAGGCCATCTAGAACGCTACTTACTGAAAGCGTCTAGATATGATTAAAAAAGATTAAACAACTAGCACCAATATACAGCAAATCTAAATGCCTTGTACTACAGTGTAAACTACTACAACTTTATTCATATCACGTGTAGCAAGCTCGAGCCTTTCACCGACAATTATTTCCGAAACATATTTTGCAAAATAACTTGCCTGAATTATTTCAGAATGTGCTCTTACGTGTTAAATAATCCATGTGGGTTTTACACAATGGTGTTTCATCTGATTTTTGCACTTGAAGTGTATTATCTAAATAATAATTTCTGAATAGGCGGATGGACCAATACCATGGTTATTAGATTGTAATCCATGAAAATTTTACCTGTGCATGAAAACATGAAAAGTTTTGGTGTATAAGTGGAATTAAATACAGTGGAGGAATTATTCGGAAAAAAAATTCGATTCTAACAGCTTGCACTGAATTGTAGATAAACTGAACAATAAGCTTGTCTAAATGAATGCAGTGCAACTTCGAAAATCTATTTTAGGCAGGTCCAGATTTATATAAATGAAAATATTAGTTCTCATTCACCTTTCGAAAAAATGTCATTCGAAAAATGTTTTTACAGTGTAATGAACCGGCATTAATTTTCCGTTTTGTGCAAGGCCGCTGGCCAGTTATTTATTTAATTAGTTTAATTGGGCGAAAGCAATTAACCGCGAGTCGAGTCAAACCGTCCGTTTGCCCCACTTTGTCGAGGGCCGCGCGCATCATCCCACCACGACTCCTGTACGAGAATCCTCAGTTCGCTGCCAGAACTTGAAGAACTCCAACGCCAACGTGAGGACCACCCCGAGGACCTGAACACCGACCAGAGACCGCCATCCGACCCAAGGAGTTCGCTGCCAGAACTCGAAGACCTCCAACACCAGCCCGAGGACCACCCCGAGGACCTGAACACCGACCAGAGACCGCCATCCGACCCAAGGAGTTAGCTGCCAGAAGCAACCGTCCGGAATAAGTAAGCAAATTGTATTTTCCTATTCTCACTTGTCCTGCTATGGTACAAGTCTGGCCGTTTTGAACTCTGGCAAGACAGTACGACCACGGCGTTGTCGGCGAAGGTTTGGCTGGGTCACCCACCGCCCTCGTTCGACGAACGTTGTTAGTCACATCGACCGAACTGCTGGTTTGGCTGGGTCACCCACCGCCAGTGGAAGACGTTGAGTGCAGGTCCGTACGGCAGCAGCGTTATCGGCGACGGTTTGGCTGGGTCACCCACCGCCCTCGTTCGACAAACGTTGTGAGCCCCTTTACTGACACTGCTGGTTTGGCTGGGCCACCCACCGCCAGTAGAAGACGTGAAGGTGTCGAAGTGTACAGCAGCAGCGTTGTCGGCGAAGGTTTGGCTGGGCCACCCACCGCCCAAGCTAGATAAACGCTGTAGGGCACAATAACCGAAACTGCTGGTTTGGCTGGGCCACCCACCGCCAGTAGAAGACGTTGTGTGTCGGCTGTGCAACGACGGATAGACCCCCGAAGTTTGGCTGGGCCACCCACCGCTTCCGGGAGAAGTCTGTCGGCCGCCCCGCATTTGAACTCGCACCTCGTCCAGACTTTGCCTCCTGTTTACCAACAACATCATTTTCCTGATTACCGTTTGCTTATTTGTGCCTGATATAAACCGCTTTGCTTGGCTTTTTCTCCTGGCTGGTCGCATTTCCGCTTAATTTCCGTCGCTTTGCTAGAAACTGCCGCCGATATTTATTTGTAGAATTAGAGTCACCCGTAATTATTTTTCTGTTTCAGAACCATTGGGAACAATTTATTTATTGCTCTAATTTATTAATCTTATTTTTCCCTTTCTAGCACCGACCGAAATTTAAAACCGAATATTATTCTGGCGTACCGTTTCGTAAAGTCTTAGATTGTTTATTAAATAAACCAAACGCCAAAGACTCCGTTTTCTACCGTACCGATTTTGAGTCCTGATATTTTGACTATGTGCTAATTTGTATTTATTTTCAGCACCGAAAAACCGCATAAGCATTTTAAATCCGTCGTACAAATAATAATTGCTCTAACCCATTTTATTTCATTTTATTTCATTCTTACACCGCTTGTAAATTTATTGTATATTCCTGGTTTTAGTTAGTAATAATAATTGTAATTAGAATCTGTTTTACTTTTGTTTGTTTGTTTCAAATTCAAGGCCTGATTAATAAATCTAGTAAATATATTTCCAGTTTGTATTCATTCTTAACACCGATAAGATTAATAAAATCCGATCAGTAAAAAGTCGCAGTATCTTTTTGTGACCTACACTGATAAGACCGTTTATTTTGAAAGGAAAATAACACTACACTCAGATAACTACTTTGCTTGAAATTAAGAGAAATATAACAGACCCCTGGAAAACTTTACCCCTTAAACTTTCTTCACTGCAGGTATCCCGAGTACTTACTCTAAACCGAGGGTAGGTTTCACGTGGAGTTTCCCCCACGTAAAAGATTGGGAAACTGGCGCCCGAGACCAAACCAAATAAAAAGATTTAATCCGGAGTACGTTCCTATGACGTCACTCACCACCGCCGGCTGCCAACCACCGCTGCCGATAAACAAGTCAAGGGTCGTCATAAAATTAGGCGTCCAAATGGGGACGTCAGTGACGTCACTGAATATAGTAAATTAGAATTTGAAATTACGAATTAAGATTCCGTTTAGAGTTGGTAGTATACCGGGGGCGGCCATAAGTAACGTAACTAACCGTCACCACCATCAGAACCGAAACGGCAGGAAAGTACCTTACAACAGTTTCTGAGTTCTACATCCTGTTAAAAGGATAACTCAATTTAAAAAATATCTTGTAGAAATTAAATTCCAAATGAATTTAAATTAAAAAATCGCAAGTGTACGAGAGTATACTTACTTAGTGACACCGAAAACATCCACATTAGCGTTGAATGTGGTAAAATCAACAAACACTGCTCTAGTTCCTCGTGTAATCCACAAATTTTCTTTTAAATGTTCAAATAATTCTTTCATTACCGTTTTATTTTTTGGCAAGTCTACATAAAATCCACCACCTCCGTAAGTGGTTATTTTTCCTTCATATGATATACTTCCAGTCTGACTTTCATCGCTGTATATCCACCTAAAATATTAAAATTTGAAAATGATGAGCTGAAATTATTATTTTAGTAATATAAAAGTAAAAGAAAGAATAGATCAACATGAGACAATTAAAGTAAAGCAAAATGGCTTAAATCCAAACATAAAGTTAGAATTTAGTATTCGAGTTACTTCAATATACAGGGTGTCCCGGATATGGTGGGCAATCTCTCGGATATGGATAGATAATGAGAAAATAATGTCACAAGTTCATATAAAATTTTTTCCTCCGGGCTCACCCTGTAGAGTTATTAGCTCTTGAAGTTGAGAATTAAAAATGTTTTTTTTGCTATAACTTTTGTATTTTTCAATAAATTTTGAAAATTTTTTGGCTGGATCTATAATTTTTGAAGATGCTTTATATGATAATACGAAATCCTCGATAATAATTATGGGGGCCCGTGAGCAATGCACCCCCCACCAACATTTCTAGAAAAAAAATTTTTGTTCCACTATACCCCAAATTTTCCATCATTTTATAAAAATTTATCGTATTTAACTTAAAAAAGGTGTACTTGTTGAATATCCATAAAATAGATATTTTTTGAGATAAACCCGTTTAACCATTTAATTTGAAACATTTTATTTAACAGAAACACAGGTTTAATCGTAGTTGGCTTTTACATATCAGAATAAAGGACAGATAATTTGCAATAGCAGTGTTCCAAATTATGAAAATTTGGACTTAACTAAACTAACTAAACGAAAAGTGCATGACAATCAAAATTTCGTAACTAATATAATTCACAATAAATTCTCAATGTTAGTTCCACCTTCTCTTATACAAATACGAGCTCGTTTAACAGAATACTGTTGCACTCTCCATAACATTTCAGGATTTTCCTTTCTCCTAATTCTTCTCTAGTGGTTACAGGTGTGGAATAAACAAGATTTTTCAAGTGCCCCCAAAAGAAAAAGTCAAGTGGGTTCATATCTGGAGTTCGGTCAGGCCAATGAATAGGTCCACCGCGACCTACCAGCGATTAGGATATACCTCGTTTAAATGGTCCCTTACTGCAGCACTAAAGTGAGGCGGCGCCCCATCGTGCATGAATATCAGTGCATTTCTGGTTTCAAGATCAACATCTTCTAACAGTTGTGGTAATTGATGCACAAGGAAATCTAGGTAACGTTGACCATTCAGTCTAGGGGGTAACACAAATGGACCCAATAAGTAAGGACCAATAATTCCACTCTAAACATTAACATAAAATTGTCTTTGGCGCCTAGTTTCAATAATAGCGTGTGGGTTTTCATCAGACCAATAATGTAAATTATGGGAGTTAATAACTCCATTCCTCCCAAAACTTGCTTCGTCAGTATACAGAATTAATCTCGTAAACATAGGATTTTGCTCATGTCTCTGAAGAAACCATTGAGAAAACTGTACTCTTGCACGAAAATCATCAGGATTAAGAGCATGCACTTTTTGGATATGGTAAGGGTGAAGAAGCTGTTCTCTAAGGATTCTTGCAACAGTGGTCTTTGGAACATTGGTAAAAGAAGATAATGACCTAATGCTAACTGTTGGATGAGCAGCAACTTCGTCCAGTATATTTTCCTCTACTTCAACTGTACGTGCTGTTCGCGGGGCACCCCTGTTTGCAGTAACAGGAGCAAACTGACCTAAAGACATTAAAATTTATTTAATATCCATTTTGTTTAATAATAGTAATCGTATTTTACCAGTTTCTCTTAATCTTTAATCAATACGTTCGAAAGTTTTGCGTTCCGGAGTCCTTCTATTGGGATAAGAATGCTGATAAAATCTTCTTGCTGCCGAAGCATTACAAAGAGCCCGCCTGTACATTAAATGCATATCAGCATATTCTTCATTGGAATACTCCATATTTTATAACAAATTATGAGTTATGAGATGAGTCTTAGATTTAAAACTACGTATTTGACAAGTTTGACAATTTAATTGCCTTTGGCATACTCTGACATGTCAAAGCCAACCACGATTAAATCTGTGTTTCAATTAAAATGTCTCAAATTAAATGGTACCTACCTCTTTAAACGGGTTTATCTCAAGAAATATCTATTTTATGGATATTCAACAAGTATACCTTTTTTACGTAAAATACCATAAATTTTTATAAAGTGATGGAAAATTTGGGGTATAGTGGAACAAAAATTTTTTTTCTAGAAATTTTGGTGGGGGGTGCTTTGCCCCCGGGCCCCCATAATTATTATCGAGGCTTTCATATTATCATCCAAAGCAGCTTCAAAAATTATAGATCCAGCCAAAAAATTTTCAAAATTTATTGAAAAATACAAAAGTTACAACAAAAAAAACATTTTTAATTCTCAACTTCAAGAGCGAATAACTCTACAGGGTGAGCCCGGAGGAAAAAAATTTATATGAACTTGTGACATTATTTTCTTATTATCTATCCATATCCGAGAGATTGCCCACCATTTACGGGACACCCTGTAGATAAAACGGATTTAATGCAATTTAAATAAAAAAAAAGTGTAATGTTTTTTGTCACTGTATATTATTCTACAATGAAAGTTAATGCGAATTGTACAAGCAATTTCGCTAATAACTAGCTAATATAAATGTTTTTTAATTTTAAAAATTTATATCGTGCGCTATGTAACGTAGCCCATGTTACGACTATGTTGTTACAGGAAACTTTTTATTTAAGCAATTCCTCTCTGTCTGTTTATTACTAAGTAGAAGGAGGACAGTATCAGAATGAATGGAAAATGTTTTTTGGTATTTTTGAATAATAGCAGCCGTTTAGGAGATATAAAAATTCAATAAAAACTTCGTGTTTTTATTGAATTTTTCTAATAAATTAAGACTTTTATTTCATGAAATATTAACCTCATGGTATTAACCAGTGACGTGCTACTAAAGCAGCCGCCAACTTTTCACAAATGCTTCTGTCAGAGAAAATTAAATAATAATGCAGACTGAATGACTAAACGACATTCTATACATAAAGTTGGGATTTTGTTTTATTTCTTAACTTAAATTCACATACACTTCGCTTCACTACGTACGCTATTGAATTTCCTGGTCCAAACGTTTCCGTATCCTGCTTTTTCACTGAATACTGATCATAACAAAACGAAAATAATCTTCTAAAGTACTCATGTATTACACAAGAATCATTCCTTACTTTCACCTAAAAGAAAAAATAATAATAAGCCAAAAGCGTTCAACAAGTGCAATTTTTGAAGGCCCGTTTAAAAAAATGTATGGTAAAAATGGGAAATATGATTATGAAATTTATATTTTTAATGGGCCAATTAATTAATCGCTTCATAATTTTTATCGTATTATAATAAAAATTAATTAAACCGTATTATGTAAAAATTTAAATTTTGTCAAGTAATCAACGCTATACAGGGTGTTAAAAAGAGATTGTAAAATATTTCAGGAGGTAATAGTATGAACCAAAATAAGCAGAAAAGTCTTAATAAACATGGGTCCGCAAAGTAACGGTTGCGGAGATATGGACCACTATTCGTTTTTCAAACATTTTATTTTATTAGGAATAAACCGACAAAGGAAGCTTTTAACAAACAAAAAACAAAGTTACAGAAGATGTTCAAAGTGCCCTCCGTCCATTTCCAAGCAGGCACGACATCTTCGTCTCAACGATATTCGAACTCTTTCGAAAACACCCTCCTTGGTTTGGATTTCTTGACACTTTTGATTAATCCGTAGCTGCAGCTCTTCCAGGCTATTTACAGGAGTACCATACACTAATGTCTTCAAATATCCCCAAACAAAGAAATCTAGAGGGTTCAGATCAGGCGATCTTGGAGGCCATAAAACAGGTCCGGCCCTTCCTACCCATCTATGTGGAAAAGTTTGGTGTAAATGCTCTCTAACGGCCATGGAAAAATGAGCTGGAGCACCATCATGCTGGAACCACATTTGTTGCCTCTGATTCAAAGGAATGTCTTCCAAAAACTCATACAGTGTGTTCTGCAGAAAGTTGAGGTAAGCAGCGCCTGTTAATCGGTTTGGTAAAACAACAGGACCTAGAAACCTGTCACCTACAATACCCATCCAAATGTTTAATGAAAAACGTGCCTGATGTCCAGATTCTATTAGAGCATGAGGATTTTCGTCGGCCCAAATATGCGTATTGTGAAAATTAAACACTCCATTTCTTGTGAACCCGGCCTCATCAGTAAAAAGAATGTTTGCAAGAAAACGAGGGTCTTCAGCATCATGACGTAGAAACCAGCGGCAAAAAACCAAACGTGCTTGATGATCATTTATTGGATTTAAGGCCTGTACTCGTTGCACATGGTATGGATAAAGCAGTTGCTCGTGAAGGATTCTCCAAACAAGAGGACCACTAATTCCTACCTCGGCTGATATTCTCCGCACACTCGTACCTGGATTCTGCTCTACCAGTGCTAGAATTTCTTCTTCTGCTCTAGGAGTGGATACCGACCTTGGTCTTCCGGATAAATGGCACTGTTTGCTCAAGGAACCGGTATCACGCAATCTTTGGTGAATTCTTCCAAACATGCGTTGTGAAGGAATCTGGCGATTTGGATAAGCGTCAACATAAAGACGTCGCGCTTCGGTGGCGTTCCCATTAGCACGACCATACATGAAATGCATGTCTGTTAATTCTGCGTTAGAGTAACCAGCCATAGCGAAAGAAAACTTGTGCACTGAGAACAACTGTCAAATACGTACTGTTTATTTCACTAAACATCAACCAACTATTATAAGAAAATACACAACGTTTTTGCAAAATAAAAAAAGGGGCTAAAAAACATAAAACATTCCATATCTCCGCAACCGTTACTTTGCGGACCCATGTTTATTGAGACTTTTCTGCTTATTTTGGTTCATACTATTACCTCCTTAAATATTTTACACTCTTTTTTTAACACCCTGTATGATGTCATTTACAACGAAAAAGACAATCTGCTTCTGGGCCGGCTTACAATTCCCATACCGACGAAATGGAACCTAATTTAAAGAAATCATGCTGCTAGGCCGTCCTGTCTCTATCATTAATATTTTCAATTCATTATCGCACTAAATGACGTCACGAACTAGGGCGATAGCAAACACATTTAAATCGTTTATTTTGGGTGCTAAACTTTAATAATCAAATTAACAATCTCTAAGATATCTCTTGTAATGAACCTGTTTTAATTTTGATTTTTATTAGGTCTGAATTTAAAAGTATTTATTTTATTTCGGATTATTTTACCCCAGCGGCGAGAATTA